TTCCTAAATGTAGCCCTTGATTTTCTTCACAATAGCTATTATTACTATTATTGTTAATAATAATAATAATAAAGATAGAAAAGAAAATAATTGGGTTTGGGCCAACTTTTGGCGGGCCGATTCCTATTGGGCCGTTTTGTTTTGAGGAATGGCCCAATAAAATACGATACAAAAATTTGAAAATAATTACCAAACAAGTTTGATTTATTGATTTTTAAAAACATAAAACAAAAATTATTATCATAAATCATAAATACTAAAAGCCTAAAATTAAAACGTTTGTGAAAGATTAATGCAAAAATAAAAATATGGGATTTTTAATATAATTTATTATTTGGACAATTATTTTTCTATGTATATACACCAAATATACATGGATTATTATTGTTATTATTTAATATGTGAGAATAAAGTCGTGAGTTGGATAATTTGGACTATGTTCATGGTTCACCAATTGATTTCTACATTAGAATGACACGTGGCAAGTTGACCCACCAAATTAATTTCGTATTTTTTTGAAATCAAAGATTATAGTAATTTTTAAATATGTATGGATTGGTATATGACGTGTCATCTTTTTGGGAAGGAAAAAAGTCGCATGCTTTGCACTGTAAACTGACTTAGATAATACACTATTAGAATATCGTGAATAAGACTTATCTAGTTTTTATATTTTATTTTTTAAAAAAATTATACTAATTTTTAGAAATTTAAATTATTTATAAAAAAGAACAAATTAAGAAGCCAGGAGGGATAATCTGAAATGGAAAAAGAAAAAGAAAAAAAAAAGGTAGAAATGGGAAGATATTATATACCGAATAAAGTTTAAAATTAAAAAGAAAAAGGCAAAGGAGAGAGGGGAATATTGAAGGGGGAAAGTGAGAACGGCGTCGTTTGATGGATGGACATGAAACGACGTCGGATAGAGGGGTTTGGTGAGTGTAAACCTGAATTTTCCCAGGTAATGTTTTAGGGGGAGGGTGGGTCTTAGCCGAACTGTGTGAAACCCTGTATCTGTGTGCTGCTGCTGCTGCTGCTGCTGCGGCTGCGCTGCTCATCCTCTCCTTTGCCTTGGTTGACCTAAACCACGCTGCTCTTCCATTTCTACCAAACCTCTAAATCTACAACTTTCTTCTTCTAGATCTGCGATTTTCAGCCATTAATTTCACAATTTCAAGGTCAGATCTGCCCACCCACTTCCCTTTTCTTTGCTTAAATCACTTCTTTTTCTAGGGTTCTATCAACACTCCATTCCTTCTCTTCTCTCCCCTTTTCCTCTACTTAATCTCTTCTTTTCCCCTCTACTTTTCAGATCTATTGGCTTTTCTTGACCGTTCTTACTCTGGCGCTGGTCTTCCGACGCCCCATCTGCTTCTTCTCAGATCCCGAGCCCTGTTCGTCGTATATTTTTTGTTCTCTCACTTGGGGTTTTGTCGTTTTGTCGCTCTGATCGAGTTCACCGTGGAGGGATGTCGATTTTACCGAAAGGCGATTCCATCCAAATCCGTGAGGTTTGGAACGATAATTTGGAGGAGGAGTTTGCGCTAATCCGTGAGATTGTTGATAAATTTAACTACATAGCCATGGATACTGAGTTTCCTGGAGTGGTGCTTCGCCCGTTGGGTGCCTTCAAGAATATCAACGATTACAACTACCAGACTCTTAAGGATAATGTTGACATGTTGAAGTTGATTCAATTGGGTCTTACGTTCTCTGACGAGAATGGAAATTTCCCAACTTGTGGAACCGATAACTTTTGTATTTGGCAGTTCAATTTCCGCGAGTTCAATATTGGTAGTGATATTTTTGCTAGTGATTCAATTGAGCTTCTGCGCCAGTGTGGTATTGATTTTCAGAAGAACAATGAAGAGGGTATCGATGTCAATCGTTTTGGTGAGCTTCTAATGTCTTCTGGGGTTGTGTTAAACGCTGATGTGAACTGGGTTACGTTCCACAGTGGGTATGATTTTGGTTACTTGCTGAAATTGCTCACTTGCCGAGGCTTACCAGAAAAGCAGGACGGATTCTTTGACCTGATCAATGTCTATTTTCCAGTGGTTTATGATATCAAGCATTTGATGAAGTTCTGCAACAGTCTTCATGGTGGGCTGAACAAGCTTGCGGAGTTATTAGAAGTGGAGAGGATTGGAGTTTGTCATCAAGCAGGATCAGATAGTCTGCTTACTGCCTCTACTTTTAGGAAGTTAAGGAATACCTTTTTCAATGGATCTATACAGAAATACGCAGGTGTTTTGTATGGTCTCGGTGTTGAAAATGGACAGCGTACTAATTGAAATTGAAGAGAATTACCAAGTATTTGTAGAAGTGTGAGACTTTTAGTTACTTCTGTACAATTTGGCTAAAGCATTGATGATGATTGTAACTGTTTTCCGCTTTCCTTCTCTGTAATAGAAACCTCCGACTGTTTTTCGCAGCTTGTGGTTTCTTGTAAATTATGGCAGTTAGTGTTTCAATAAGAATCTTAATGACGTTTCTTTGAATGAGTTTTCACTTGTTTTGTGAGCTTGTGTTCTTACATAGTCCTTTGGGTCATTAATTATGTAAGGCTCCAAAGCTACTTGGAATGATACACATTCATTGTTGCCAATCTATCATATTTCTTTAGCAACCGACTCGGTGATGAGAATTTTCAAGTCTTTCAACTGTTTTCTCCTGCTCTGATGATGTGACTGATTAGCTTTGTCTCCGTTGATTCCATTACGACAGATACTGATTAGCTTTGTCTCCATGGATTAGATTGGAATCTGATAGATACTGATTAGCTTTGTCTCCATGGATTAGATTGGAATCTGCTAGGAACTAACCGCCTGTCTCGCCCATTAAGTTAGATCAGTTTTCTGTCATATTGGACACTTTTTTGGTTTCAGTAGTTGTTTGTATCTGATGATTCTTCAAGGCCCTGTCTATTCTTTGATTGTTATCTGTTTGATTGTCTTGATGTTAATGGCTTATTTTCTTCCACTTCCTATTGAACATTTGCAGACTCTGTCGATACGTGTGTTTTGAGGTATCGTTGTAGTTAATGTTTCATTTGCTGGTATGATTATAGAGTTTAGAGTTAAACTGTTCTTTATCTGGTGTTGTCCTAGCACATGATATAGCATTGGTTGCATTATCTTTTCTGATTTTAATCATGCACGAAACTTAGACCTATCTCTGGCTTGGAAATTCAGAATCGAACGAAAGAGCCATGAAGATTTTACGAAAGAGCCGTGATTATAGAGTTTGGGAGTTGGTTTGGTTTATCTGTAGCTGTTACCACCAACAGGCTGACCCATGTTATCAATACAAAACTAGATCGATTCCTCTGCACATCAGGTGAGCATTGTATATAAGCTTTAGTTTGAAATTCTCACTTTTGTAGCCATGTCTGATGAGATTCATGCATTTCCCAACAATTTTAAGAGAGATGCATCTTATTACGGTTGCATATTAGTTTCAGCTGTCAAATCTCAAATCATATTTTTCAGCTTGACTTCTAACCGATTGCTCATTTGATCTGGTGGGGCAGTGGAATCATGATAGTTGTAGTGAAATTTCTGCCACAGTGATCTTAAAACTCTGAGATCTGAGAGAATTTACACATCTAAAACCGTTCATATTTGTACTGTCTTGTTTTGGTATTGCAGACATGGCCTTGAGCTTAGCAAGTTGGAAACCAAGGAAACTGAACCAACCTCAGGGTATACACAAAACCTTTTGACCATTTCTTAATCTCATGTTACCTCTACAATTCACTGTACTGCTGTTCATAAGGATTTGGATTTGATATGCACATTTTATTTGTTATTATTGTTGGATCCAGATTTTGTGGTGATATTATTATATGACATTGGGTGCTTCAGATTCTGAACAGATAATTGTACCTAATCTTTTTGTTTGAGAGAAAGAGGCACAGAAATGGGTTGCACATGCATATGCCTACTGATCATATGGGCACAGAATATCTTTAAGAAACCCTTTGAGATTAGCCTACCTCTTACTTTATTCCCATCATAGTCTAATTCAGCAAATTATGTTCACTTACTGTCTAAGAATCTTCACTTCGATCGACATCCCGTGCAGCTCAATTATGCATTCCCAAATCCTTTTAGATTTTTTGTAACAACCCAAACCCACCACTGTTAACGTATATTGTCCTCTTTGAGTTTTAAAACGTGTCTGCTATGAGAGGTTTTCACACCCTTGTAAGGAATACTTCGTTCACTTTTTTAACCGATGTGAGATCTCACGATCTACTCCTATTGGGGGCCTAGCGTCTTCGCTAGCACACCGTTTGGTGTCTGGCTTAGATAAGCTCATTACCTTGTCCTTTTTGGACTTTCCCTTAAGGTTTAAGGAATGTTTCGATGTGAGATTTCTCTCACTTTTTTTTCTTTAAGAGAGGATAATATGACAATTACAATCCAGGTATGTTTGTGGAGATTTTAATTGATATGATTCAAAAGCTTAGACTCAATTTTTTATTTTTAAAAATTAAAATTAAAAATATTATTGGTATTTTGTATATTTTGTTATCCACCTTCTGCTTTTAAAAATTTAACCCTAGATTTAAAAAGTTTTATTTATTTATTTTTTAAATAGTTTTAAAAAATTTATTTTTATTTTTAAATTTAATTAAGAATTGAAATGATTAAATTTAAATATATTTGGTTAGTTATTTAATTTAAAGGCTAATCATTGATTTGAAGTGATTATGTCTAAAACATGGGCCCCAAATTGAAAGACGTGGGACGCATATAGGCTCCATTTCAGGAATTCTTTTTTTAAAAAATTGATGAAAGTTATATATTCATAAATAATCATTTAAACTTTTCAGTAAACAATAATATGGTGGACTTGGGCCTGTCATGAAGCCCACGGTTCAATTTGTGAAAGCCCAAATACCAAAGCCCAATTGTATTAATGGGCTTGTTTAGCAGCTAAATTTTAATGTAAAAATACGCACCTATTTATTGGGTCTGAGAAACTTATTAATTAATTACAATAATACGCAACAAAAACAATCAAATTTCTAGGAATTATTTCTTACAAACTTCAAGATTCGTCATCTTAGACTAAGCTCAGAAAATCACTACACTTCTCTGCTTCAAGATCGCTCTGTTTCAGCCATTAATCTTTGCTTTTCATGGTCAGATTATCCGCTTTCGTCACTCCAGGGAGTTTTCCCCTTTTGATCAATCGCTTCTTTATCTACGGTTCGATCCCTACTCTGTTTTTCTGGTTCTTGCTTCTCTCTGGGGTTTTTGTCTCCGAGATCTTCAAGATCTTGGAAGATTTCATAAGTGCCTTCTTCTTTAATTGAACGGCCGCACGTCAGGTTTTTAGGGCCGAAGGTTTTTTTAAACCCGGATTTTTGGCGGTAGGGTTTTTCCGTTTTTGCCGATTTGTTGGGTCAGTTAGAGAATCAAGGTATGTCGATGTTTCCGAAAGCTGAGTCGATCTATATCCGTGAGGTGTGGAACCATAATTTAGAGGAAGAGTTTGCTTTAATACGTGAAGTCGTCGACCAATTCAACTACATAGCGATGGATACCGAATTCCCCGGCGTGGTTCTGCGCCCTGTGGGTAATTTTAAGAATATCAACGAGTATAACTACCGAACCCTCAAAGACAATGTCGACATTTTGAATTTGATTCAGTTGGGTCTTACCTTTTCCGAAGAGAATGGGAATCTTCCAACATGTGGTACCGATAAGTATTGCATTTGGCAATTCAATTTCCGCGAGTTCAACATTACTGAAGATATTTATGCAACTGATTCGATTCAGCTTTTGCGCGACTCTGGAATTGATTTCAAGAAGAACAAAGAAGAAGGTATTGATGTCAACCGCTTCAGTGAGCTTCTCATGTCATCCGGGATTGTCTTAAACGATAGTGTTTACTGGGTGACGTTCCACAGCGGGTATGATTTTGGGTACTTGCTGAAATTGTTGACTTGCCAAATCTTACCAGACACCCAGGAGGAGTTTTTTGATTTGATCCATACGTATTTCCCAATGGTTTATGATGTCAAGCATTTGTTGAAGTTTTGCAACAGTGTCTATGGTGGGCTCAGCAAGGTTGCAGAAACATTAGAAATTGAGAGGGTTGGAGTTTGTCATCAAGCAGGATCAGATAGCCTCCTTACTGCCTGTACTTTCAGGAAGTTAAGGGATACATTTTTCAGTGGATCTACACAGAAATATGCCGGTGTTTTATATGGTCTCGGTGTCGAAAATGAACCGTCTACTGATTGAAGACACTTACCAAGTATTTGTAGCATTGATGGGTGTCTCTGTATGATGTTGTAAATTAGTGCAGATAGCAGTTAGTGTTTCAATAGAACCTTAATGGCACTCTTTAAGGTAGTGATCTTGTTTGGTTAGATGCTATGCTATATGTGCCTTACAATTCATTGAAACTATTATACGTGAAAGATAGATGGATAAATGCATAGACGTAGGAGAAAAAGAAAAAAGGCAAAGGCTGCTCACCTGACCCCATCCAACCAACGACTTTCATAGTAGTGGCAATAGAGAACATATTTCCTCAAACTGTGAGCTCTGTGATTTGATTTTCTTTGCCTGGCCTGTTGATGTGATCCTTTATCCTCGTACGTGTTGATGCAGTTTTATCTTTACCGAACACTGACAATTGTTGATAGAACCATTAGCCTTTTTCACTTTTATGAACAGAGATCTTGTTTAAACCTTATTACTGAGCAATTCTGGTAGAGAGCTTATTTGTTTCCTTCTCTAACTGCATGTATCTGAGTCTTCCAAGTTTTTTGGAGAAATAGATCCCATGGAACATTCCAAGATTCTGTCCATACATGTGTTTTGCAGGCTTCCCTGTAGCTCTTTATGTGCAGCTGCTTGTATTTGAGCGGAGTTTTGAGGTAACCAGTTGTTTACCTTTTTTCTTTGTATTTGTGCACTAAACTGAGATATCCTTGGCTTATACGATGAGTTTCAAGTCTTTTCCTTGTTTGTTTTTCTTCAGGTATCTTAAGTTTTTGTTATTCTCTTATTTGGGCGATGCTTGATTCGTACTTATTATGAACTCGATGTGGTTGGCTCAAGTTATCAATCCAAAACTTGCTTATCCCATCCCGTTCTCGTCTGGTGAGCATTCTTTAAGCTTTATCTTGAAGTTCACTTGGTATCAATATTTGATAAGATTCAATGCCTTTGCTACAACTCGATGTCCATTGCTAGATGGAAATGAGACTGCAAAAGTAAAAATTATTTCAAATTAAGACATTGTGGTCTATCTAACCCTTTTCAGTCCTTGAATGGCTTTCAGTAAGCAGCCTGAGACCTAAGCAAGTTGAAACGAAGAGTGGGACTGAAATGGAGGAATCATTTTGAAAGCTCAATCGTTTTCATGTGAGGGGAATCGACATAGTTTCAAGTGTCAAGAAAAACAAATACCTGGCGTTTCCCATCACCGTCTTGAATTGAGGAAGCTTCGAATTCTTCTGGTCAGTATTACGAGTTACCCTTTCCTAGATTTATTGACAAGAGTTGAGAAATTCTTTCCATACCACAATCTGCAATGAGAGTCAGGTAGGCAGTGGTGGTGTAGTTTAGAGATTAGGAGCCATAGTTCCAATAGAATAGGAATTAGAACCATGTAGGCTGAGGGACAATTGTGGGGGTTGCTGCATTTTGAGCTGAGGGACATGACTGGTGTGACACTGTGAGTCTACTTCGAGCCCGAACCTTATGTTAATGTTTGACAGACTACTACTCTATAATGCACAGGCACCTCTGTAGGTAAGCGAGTCGATTCTTGTAATGGTGGCGAGGCACGAGCAAGCTGCTACTCTGGGAATTACCAGGCAAATCTTCAAACACATGTTAAGGAAACATGTAAATAAAAGTACCAAACTCTCTACCCATGTATGCTTTGCACCTTGCCAAACACTTTCTTAGTTATAGCGTTCAGATTTAGCTGATAATGAATGAATAAAACTGTTGTTCTTAGCTTTTGCCATCTGTTACAATGCTCCTGTTAAGTCCTCATAATATCCCAACTTTTGTTTAAAACAAAGAGATTGAGAAGAGATGTCCATTTTTATTTGCCGGGACATGCTCCGAATGGAGAAGAAATTTCTAGTTTAGACGGAAAATGGGAGGGGAAGAGTGAGCATTTTTTCCCTGTAGTTTGGAGACCGGATTATATTCTCCACCTCACTCGTGGGTTCGGTGTGTTGAATGTCGTATCTTTTAAAGGATTTGGTTTCCCCAAATTGGTTAGAGTAAAATAAAAAAATAATTAATTTAGAACCAAAAGTAGGATTAAGGAAATGTAATCAGAGGTTAGATTTAATTAAGTTAAATTAATAGGAATTCATTATCAGCCTCCTCTTTTACTTGTCGGCCATTTTGTCTCCCGGATAAACTTCATTGCATTCGTGCCCTTTTATTTTATTATATTTTTTTATTAAAAAAGATCAAGTGAGTAATTTAAATAATCTGAATAATACATCATATTTTCTATATATATATATAAAAACGTACATTAATACTCAAATAAATGAATACAAAAGATAACATATAGGATTTAAAAAAGAAAAGGATAATGGAATAAATATATTCCTATATAAACATGGTTGAATTAAATTATTGGATATTTAATCCTAATTATACAAAAAAAGGTTCAATTTTTCATCCATGGAGTCTTCGACGACAGAGACACCTCCAAAACCGCCGTCGCAGAACCAGGAGCAACACGATGATGAATTACAGAAGGGTTTTGCTGAAGAAGACGACAACCACCATCATCTCCGCGGTGGAGTTCCGGCGGAGGAGCTGAATCTCATCGACGGCCTGAAAATGGGTTTACCGGAACGGAGGCTATTTTCGTGTAATTTCTGTCGGAGGAAATTTTATAGCTCACAAGCACTTGGAGGCCATCAAAATGCCCATAAAAGAGAAAGAACGTTGGCTAAAAGAGGCGGTCAACGACCGCCGGCATTCGGCGGCTACCACCACTACGCATCGGCGGCGCCGTCCAGATCGATTGGAATTCAGGTTCACGCAATGGTACACAAACCGCCTCACCACGCGCCGGCTTTTGGAATCATCTACGGTTGGTCCAGAACTCCGATCCATCAACAGCCCGGTGTTGGGAAGCTACCGGTGATGAACGCCGGGCATGCGATTAATCATACCTCCAGTAGGATGAACTTCGACGTGGAGCGATCAACGGCGGGTGGCGGCGTTGGTTTGAACAATAAACAAGAGGAGGAGAGGCACAAAGTAGTGGACTTGTCTCTGAAGCTGTAATTAAACACAGATTTTGCTCTTCACTTCACAACCTTAATAATTACGAAGAAGAAGGGTTTATTGAAGTGGAGAACAGTGAAACAGAGAAAAGAGGCACGCGGAAGCAGAGGAATCCTCTGCTCAGGAACTCAAACCCATTTCCCTCACTTTCCATCTTCGATCCTATTCCCAATTCCCAATCCTAACAACTTTTTCTTTTTTCAAACCTGAATTGGATTGTTGCAGTCCGTTGCCCTCCAAAACTCATCTTTGATTCTGCATCTCGGCCATCGTTCTATGGCTGTTCTCATGTAAGAGATTGCAAAAAAATGTTGGTAGGATTGTGACTATTTTTAAAACGCTTATTCTCCTCTCCAATCGATGTGTGGGGATCTCACAATCCAATCGTTATATGGCTGTTCTCTTTGATTTGCTCGTTACTCTCTCTAATCAATGTAAGATCAGTGTCGAGCAAGAAAAAGATTGGTGCAGCTTTGATTGATTTAAATGTTTATGATTTATGTTAAGAAATAGAAATAGAAAATAGAACTAGAGAAGTGTATGATCTTCATTCAGGTTTAGCACGTTTAAATACATACAAACTATTAACTAATATCTAAAAATAGAAAAAAAATAATATATCTAACTGAATCTTGTAAATAAATAAAATATACGATTAATCACATTTATACTAACAACTCTCTAAATATCTCAGATATATTCTAACTAATATATCTCCAAAATATCCTCTCAATACTCCCCCTCAAGTTGGAGAGTGTATGTCGATCACACCCAACTTGTCCTTCAAAAGGTCAAATTGCTGTCTTCCCAGAGCTTTAGTAAAAACATCTGCCAATTGCATTTTGGTCGAAATATAACATGGTTTGATGATTCCAGCTTGTAACTTTTCTCGAACTATATGACAATCTATTTCAATGTGTTTCGTACGTTCGTGAAAAACTAGATTGGCTGCTATATGTAATGCTGCTTGATTATCACAATATAATAATGCTGGTTCGGACAGTGGAACATTCAAGTCTTGAAGAATGTATCTTAACCAAGTTAACTCTAAACAAGTATTTGCCATAGCTCGATACTCGGCTTCTGCTGATGATCTGAACACATTAGTCTGCTTTTTAGACTTCCAAGAAATAATTGAATTTCCAAGGAAAATGCAGAATCCAGAAATAGACCGTCTGGAAGTTCGACAACCACCCTAGTCAGAATCGCAATATGCTTGTAATCTTAAATTGTTTTCAGATGGCAGTAGGAGTCCTTGACCAGGAGTGCCTTTGATGTACCTCAGAACTCGAAGAGCTGCCTCCCAATGTGGTTTTCTTGGTTCATGCATAAATTGGCTAAGCATACGAACTGAATAAGGTATGTCAGGCCTAGTGACAGTCAAATATATTAATCTGCCAATCAACCGTCTGTATTTACTTGGATCATTCAATTTCTCTCCTTCAGTTAAAGAAAGTTTCAGATTTTGCTCCATAGGAAATTTGTCTGGACGTGCTCGTGTAAGGCCTGTGTCTTGAAGGATGTCTAGAGCATACTTCCTTTGAGACATAAAAATTCCTTTTCTAGACCGAGAAAATTCAATGCCTAGAAAATATTTCAAATTTCCTAAATCTTTGATAAGAAATTTCTGGAGTAAACTAGTCTTGAGATATTGCATTTCTTTGAGATCATTGCCTGTCAACAGAATATCATCAACATAGATTAGAACTGCAGTGAAAGAAGTACCTTTACTCTTGGTAAACAAAGAGTAGTCTGCTTTGGACTGAGTGTAGCCTGCATTTTGTATAGTTGTAGAAAATATGGAGAACCAATTGCGAGAAGCCTGTTTTAATCCATAAAGATATTTATGGAGCCGACATACTGTATTCTCCCCCTGTCGGCGAAGACCTGGTGGTAAAGACATATAAACTTCCTCGTCTAGATTACCATGGAGAAAGGCATTTTGAACATTCAACTGATGGGTGAACCATTTTCGAGCAGCAGCAACAGTGAGTAAGCAACGAAGTGTAGTAAGTTTTGCTGTAGGGGAAAATGTTTCTGTGTAATCAATACCTTCAACCTGAGTGTATCCCTTTGCTACAAGTCGAGCTTTATAACGTTCAACAGAACCATCAGATTTGTATTTAATTTTGTACACCCAGCGACAACCAATAGCTTTATGACCAGGTGGTAGAGGAACGAGAGACCATGTATGATTACGTTCCAAAGCTGCAATTTCATCATTCATAGCCTGCTGCCATAAAGGGTCGCCAACTGCCTCGTCATAGGTTTTAGGTTCTGTCTGGGATGTAATAAGAGCTAGAAAAGCACGTTGAGTAGGAGAAAAACGAGAGAATGAAAGGTAATGATGAAGGGGATACCTGGTGCCAGTGCCGGGACTTGAGCTAGAGGTTAAATGATTGGCTCCAGAAGACATCTCATAATCCTTATGCCAAGCTGGAGGCTGTTTAGTGCGAGTAGAACGTCGGAGTGGAGCTGATGTATCAGGCGGGATAGGATTGGAATCAGTGGGCAAATCTGGAGAAGGTGGAGGAGACGACGAAGTAGTAGGTGAAGGGATAGGAGGTGAAGGAGGAATGGAAGGTGGATGATGGGTGCTTAAGTAGGATGGATCATGAAGTGGAACAACAGGAGTCGAAGGAGCTAATGTCGAAGTTTGTGAAGCTGATGAAAAAGGAAAATCATCTTCACAAAATTTAACATCACGGCTGATAAAGAATTTGTGAGATTGCATGTCATACAATTTGTAACCTTTATGACCACAAGGATATCCTACGAAAACACAAGGAATTGCCCGAGGTTCAAATTTTTGCTTAGGATGTACTATAGTTGCATAACATTTACAACCAAAAACTTTAAGATGATGAAATGTAGGTGATCGTTTGTAGAGTGCTTCAAAGGGTGTCTTGTTAGATAACACTGGTGATGGCGTTCTATTTATAAGATAAACAGCCGTTAAAACGCACTCTCCCCAAAAATTAAGTGGAACCTGTGACTGAAAAAGAAGAGACCTAGCTACATTTAGGATATGGCGATGCTTACGTTCTACGACTCCATTTTGTTGTGGAGTATAGACACAAGTGCGCTGAAATTCAATACCACAAGAAGTAAAGAATGGTTGCAAAGATAGGAACTCAGTCCCATTGTCTGATCGAACTATCTTGATAGTAGTATGAAATTGAGTTTGAACAAATTTAACAAAGTTCATTAGCAAATGATGTACTTCTGACTTATGTTGCATTAGAAAAACCCAAGTACATCGAGTAAAATCATCAACAATAGTGAGAAAAAAACGCAAACCAGAATAGGTAGGAATTTTATGTGGTCCCCAAACATCACAATGTATCAGATCAAAGGCAGAATGGGTTGTTATTGAACTTCTTGAGAAAGACAACCTAGTTTGTTTTGCTAACGGGCAGATACTACAATTATGAGAATAACTCGCATTATTAAGATGCAATTGATCAGCTAGAAATTTAAAACGAGAAAAAGAAGGATGACCTAGACGTAAATGCCACAAATCAGATGACTGAGATACTTGATGAGCTGAAGATTTGATTGGAGATGAAGAAATATGATAGAGACCTCCAAATTGTTTACCCGAGCCAATCATCTTCCCCGTAGCCAAGTCCCGCATAACACAAGAATCAGGATAGAAGGTGACATAACATTTCAAGTTATTGGTAAGTTTGCTGATCGACATTAGGTTTAAATTGAATGAAGGCACACATAAAACGTTGTTTAACTTAAGGTTAGGGCTAAGGGAAATATTGCCAGTATGTGACACACGTGCTGTCTCTCCATTAGGCAAATTTATTGTAGACATGATGGCAGCCTTTGGATCAGTCATAATAGAAGATTTTGATACTATATGATCCGTAGCTCCACTATCGAGAATCCATGAATTAGAACTCGCAGAGTTAACAGATAATGTAGATATGGGAAACAAACCTGCAACATTGTTGTGATTGTCAGAATTACCAGAAGGGTTTTGATTGATTGCAGATAAGGCTTGTGCTATCTGTCGTAATTGCTCAGAAGAAAAATTTGGAATGGAATTAGGTGACTGTTCTCCTGTATTAAACTGTGAAACATCGGCCATATTTGCAGATGATCGGTATCCACGATGATTGTGTTGATTGACTTGTCTTGTCCTTGTAGAATTATTTTTCTGTCGACACCGATCTTCTGTATGTCCCCTTTTATCACAAAACTTACAATGAAACTTAAGAATTCGACACTCATTGATTGTATGACCACTTTTATTGCAGTGTTCACATGATTTGTCCTTAGCGAATTTTGAATATGTTGTTTTCTTCTGCACTGCTGATGCAATCGAGAAATTCTCAGCAGGTTCAGAAGTTACCTGTCGCTGCATCTCTTCTTGTACAAGTAATGAATAAGCTTGCCTCACATTAGGTAATGGAGACATCATCAATATGTTAGATCTCACCGTTTTATAAGACTCGTTGAGCCCCATGAGCAATTGCATCAACTTGTCTTCTTCGCGTTGATCAATATGTATTTGACGTTGATTACACGTAAATGGTGTGCGGTACGCTTCCAGTTCATCCCAGAGTGCTTTGAGCTTGGTGAAATATGTTGACAGTGCCATGGTTCCTTGTGACATCGTTGCTATCGAGTTTTGTATTTGAAAAATTGCTGGAGCATTCTTTTGTGAGAATTGATCGCGAAGATCAACCCACACTTGATGAGCTGTCTTGGCGTGAATAATGCTTTTAGCGATATCTGCTTCAACAGAATGAGTTAACCAAGATATTATCATACTGTTGCACTGATTCCAGAGTTCGAATTCGGTTGAATTTGCATCTTGGGGCGGTTCCTCAATTGTGCCATCAATGAAGCCAATTTTCTTCTTGGCAATAAGAGCATGCATAACTGATTTACTCCAAGATTGGTAATTTGCTCCATTTAATTTAATTGGAACAAGTGAATATCCTGGCTGATCAGAGTGATGCATATAGTAAGGATGTGTTAAATCAACATCTGAAATTTTAAAGCTGGATTTGGCTGAGCCCGCCATAAAGGAAATTTTGATATTTACGATCGATGCTCTGATACCATGTTAAGAAATAGAAATAGAAAATAGAACTAGAGAAGTGTATGATCTTCATTCAGGTTTAGCACGTTTAAATAGATACAAACTATTAACTAATATCTAAAAATAGAAAAAAAATAATATATCTAACTGAATCTTGTAAATAAATAAAATATACGATTAATCAAATTTATACTAACAACTCTCTAAATATCTCAGATATATTCTAACTAATATATCTCCAAAATATCCTCTCAATAATTTAACACTTGGCCTCGATGTCTACCATGCCGACATACAAAGTGAGCAACGTTTCTGGCCCTTTGTGCTTTCAACCTTTTTTTTTCCTTG